ATAATTCACATACTCTATGTCGATTTTCCTTTCATTTTTACAACTGATAGTTTGCTGTTTATGTTCACAATTGGCAATAGACCATAATTTCTCTGCAACAAGGAAGACAGCGTAAATACTTTTCTCTCCAAGACATGTTTTTTTCTTCTCGAATAACTGCTGCTACGAAAACGTCTGCCATCTGTAACCATGAACACCTTGCCCCTCTCCTCCTTCCCCCAGCGAATAAATGCAATAAAATTTTTATAAGTCATTAGACTACTCTATCAATAAGCCAACAGCAGAAAATATCAAGACATACACGGGAACATCGTCTAAATCATTGGTGATGTAACTGAACACGAGCGTCCGTCAACGGAATATTCTTCCTTGCAAGTACATTAATAGTAGCCCACGGCGTTGGTAAACTTGGTACGAGACAGCTTTCTCGGCTCCCAAATTAGTTTTGCGTGGCTTTGAAGAGGGTAATCAAAACTAGCACAAAAGAAAACAAAGTCTCATTTAACACAGGCTGGAGGGAGTCTATACTTAATAATTGCAGCCATTTGGCACTGATTTTGATGATATGTTTTGATATGATTGTCTTACTAAGCCGTCCTTGTTTAAAAAGGAAGTATGGCATATACTTCAGATTACGTTACCTTTTTCGCAATAGTTTCCAGTCCATAAGGATGAATTGCGCACGCAAGTAAGAAAAAAAGAAAAAAAAAGAACTTTAGTAGCTAACACAATTACTGGTAACCCAGTAGTTTGCATTGTGGGCTGTAAACAAATAATTCAAATTGAACATAATATTGTTAGATGCAATGAATATATGAAGTTCACATATTTTGAACTGCGGTATTAGATACGTATGATGTGCGATCCTCGCAGTAGATAGCGCTAAAAATAGCACTATCTACTGCGAGGATCGCACATCATACGTATAATATTGTTAAGAATCCCAACTGGCCGGAGGCAAACCAGTTGGCTATTTACAAGCATGGCCGAGGATTTGAACTCGGAGCCACCGTGAAACAAATTCAGGTAGTGGTCAGGGCGGGACTCGAACCCGGGAGCGACGGATCGCGAGTCCGACACGCTGACCACTCGGCCACGCTGCCTCCTCCTAGATGTTGAAGTTTACAATCATCAATTTGTTTCACTTAGCTGACTTATTTCACAAAACACATGCTAATAAGAAACCTTTCGAAGTTTTCTTTAAAATCATAATTACGGCATTATCATTATTTCAAATGAGACAATTCCAAATCGACATCAAGTGCTAATTATGGTTTCTACCTCTAAATGGGTTAGGTTAATATCCCGTGGAACCCCTCCATAGTAGAAAGGAGTGTTGATTTCCAGAGGAACTTTTTCGTCTCCTTGACGTTGATTACCGTAATCTTTGTTTGAAACAACCAGCATAGCGCCAAACTGATTAATCCTCAGGAGACGAACCTGAGTTCGGGAAAAACAATGTTAAGTAAACAAAACCAAGAACCCCCGCCCCAACCCATTCCAGGAGAAAACAGCAATAATGGGGCAATATTGATCATTTCGACCGCTCTCAGAATTTCAATTAAAGATTCACTCTTTAGTACCAGGAGCCCGGACTTATTCAAATGAGAAACGAAACTCCACCAGAACCTTTAAAATCGGATCTGATTCTACAGATACAGGATAAGAAAGTTGCAAATGTGGCAGAAATTAATATAAGCCTACAAATGTACTCCACATTTATCAACAACTTTCGCTTGAACATATGAACGACATTTTACGTTCATACAAACCTATTTAGAGTAGAAACTCCCGTAAGGAACAGACACGGTTTCTTCTCATTTTACTGTACCAGCGCTCGACAGATATTAGAAAACTAGAGTTTGAACGAATTTGTGTCCACCTCTTGCGGAAGTGCCAACCAAAGTAAAGAGTTTTGAACAAAAGTCCATTCGTACATACTGTTTCCTGTGCATTGCAGTATACAAATGCACGTTTACGGTGTACATGGAAAGATAGCCTGTCGCGGTTAAAGAGATGAGCTAAATAAATACGCAAAAAAAAAAAATTGTTGTCATATATACACTTTAAACTAAGAAGAGAAAGAGTGTTTGTTACCGTGTAGAAATAACCACCATCAGAGTAGTTGGTAAATGTGCTTAGAACTTTGACTGTTTTGAAGCCTGCGTTATATTTGAACACCAGGCGGCCATTCACCAGCTCCAAACTGATAAAGTGAGTGGGCGTCTGAAGGTTATTGGCAGCGTAAAGTAGCACTCCATTTGGAACAAGGGAACGGAATTTCACACTGATCACAAACCTAAAAGAGAGCACATTATTTCACACAATCAAATTAATACAACTTTCTAAGACCTCTGCACAACAGGCTTATGTTCCCTTTGAGTGACTATTCTAATAATAAGCAAACCTAAACCAACACAATTTCTTTTGAAATTTTTGGGGAGCGGTTGACAAAGTTAACATCTGTTAATCGATAGATAGATAGTTTATTAAAATATCATATTGCAGCCAAAAGGCTGAATTGCATAATATTTTAAAAGAAATACAGAAAACGTATGAAATTACTATAGTACAAGTTATGTTTAAAAGCTAGAAATTAACCTGTTCGTGTTGTCCTTCAGCAGCATTTGTTTAAGTGTACAAACTGTTCGAATGAGGCCTTAATGAGCTTGGATTTTAAAGTTTACTTTTTACAGTGGTTTAAGGCCTCATTCGAACAGTTTGTAAACGCTAGAAATTAATCTACACACTGCTGAGATTAACGAGCGTCGGAAATGGTTGGTGCGCGCACTAGGAAGGTCGTACCCTCTGTTTTACCTTTCCTCTTTTTTTACTGTTCTCGGCGACTAGTACTTTTTTCCCCCTGTTCGCCAACTCTTGCTTGTTTTCTACGCCCGTTATTGCTTCTCCTTTCGTTTCCCGCGCTCGTCGCTTCCCGACCTTTCTGCAAGTTGGGTTTTTTTCCACACGCTGGTCGCAAATCTGTCAATCATAGCGAATCCTAAACGCTCGCAAACAACCTGTAGCTCACAACTAGTTTGGATTACTACTCATCTTTACTTCAACACCCACTCAGTTCCTAGTCTGTTTTTGAGCGATGCAATTTTTCTAAAGGCGTATCAAAGGAAAAACAAGCACTCACCGGGTTTTTGTAAAGTTTAACACTTCTGCACTTGCATGAAAGGCAATATGATCCGAGCCATCCAAGCGAACCTCATCTTCACGAGAGGAATTCCGCAGGGGAGGGTAAGAGCTGCCACAAGTGGGTGGTGGCTTGGTGGGGGGTGGGGTAGTGGGAAGTGCTGTTGGTATAACGTTCAGTGCAGGTGATACTCCAGCAAGCGACACTCCAAGGCTTCTTCCTGAGAAGATGTTTACATCTCTGACGAAAAAAGAAACAAACACAATAAGGTTGAGGGAAAAAAAAATTCAGGGACAAAAACTTGCGGCAAATGAGACAGAAAGAGGAAAGTGAATGACCACGGTTCTGTATCATACTACTTACTTTCCGTTCACTTTCAAGACCCTCACGTCCCCTTTAAACGCGTTTACAACAGGGAACTCCCTGGGTATAGTTGTCCTGTCATCCACTCCCCCGATCCACAAACTCCCGTTAAGACTAACCGAGCCTCTGGGAAAGTCCTCTGAGAGAGAGTTGCCATCAAGAAGTACGTTACTCCTAGAAAAACATAAAAACGTTTAATAAAACCAAAACCTGATCAATTCAATCCCTTTGTGTATCATAGGTGTGTCGACGTTCAGGCAAGGCATACAATGACTGCAAAAGTAATTTGTCATGTTCGGCATATTCCATTTTAATCTCTATCTGTTAGGAATCCTAATTCTTTCTAGTCTTTTGGCTTCAAAATGACCTCCTTCGTTTTTGCTGCTTTGTTTCCGCAAAGTACTACGTCATTAGTATTTACTTACTATAGCTCAAGGCTGCTTGAAGAATAAAAACGTTCCCTTCATGTTTATCAATTAGAATTTTTCCACACTTTTGCAAAATAAATTGTATTCCTTTTCGCATTGGAAATGTAATAATGACCCCACGCAAACACACATTCAAGTTGATACAGTGTGTTCTCACACAAGGAATTTAAAAGTTAATTTGGAGAGAGTTTCCATGATTCTCAGTTGCGATTACAACAAGCCAGAAATATTAAATTCAGCACTTCCTAGGCGTTTATTCAAGTACTTCGGGCCGCGCAGCGGAAACGCCCCCCTTTCAGTGAACACTTGTTTGCTGGTCCGCTGATATCACCGCTTAGGTAGCACCTCCAAATTTTGTTCAACAAGCCCCATGTAAAAATAATTCTATGCTGCCTCTAAGCAACGAAAATGTCACATAGTATTCATTCAGTTGACTCACCCAGGTACTCCCAGTTCAATTTTGACAGTATGATAAGCGCCATCATTAAGTGTCTCTCCCTTGCTTACAGTTGCAACTAATTTTTCCAAATCTGTAGCGTGGACTAAATAGATATTGCCATGGAAAAGAGCCAGATAGAACCACGGACCCTACAAAAATGGAAAGCACACCTTTGTCAAATCAATAAATTGCTGATCTGATTCGTTTGCTCAAAAGGCATTTTTTCCGGGTTGGCGACATAAGTTTCTAAGATGTAAAAATAGTCGAGTGCATGTGGAAAGAGGTCATGCTCCGACAAAATGGATGAACCGGCTTCGTTTATCTTGCAGATAAATGGTTAGAGGTGGAAATGCATTCACAAAGTGCCATTTTCTATTTTCAAATTTGAACTTCGTGCTAAAACACAAACATTGGTAAGTAAAGCCAAAGCAAAACACAAACATCGGTAAGTAAAGCCAAAGCATGGTTGGTTGAAAACGGCGTTCAACCAAAAAAAAATCATCGTTATCTTGCCAAAACGAAAATCGTCCTCTCCTTTATTCATCTCTGCCGGGTCAATTGCTCATGCCGTGTAAATCTGTTATTTCAACCCAACGTTACCTCTCCACTCGCAGTATAAACTAGCACACCACTGGGGGAGAGTGTTTTGAAGGAGATCTCTAGCGACGTCATTTGTGCTTCACCGGTTTCTACAGCAGCGTAATTGTTACCAAGGAAACGAATGCCTTCTTCCACCTTAAAAAAAGGAAGAAAATTCGATTGCATCATGCATCATACACTCAGAGGAAAACACTTTCTACAAATCTGCCTCATCGTCTCTTTCAGCAGGATATGTAGTAATGTATCTGTTGTAGGTTCTACTATAAAAACTCAGAAAATCAAACTCCAAAATCATTTCTAGAATATGATTGTTAAGGGGAAAACGTGCAAAACAGGCAAGAACTCTCATGTCCTCATTTCTCGTGTTGTTAATTATAGCACAACAAAAATTCCAGTTGTTCATTCCCGACTTATCTAAGGTGTTCATATATTTCTTATTTTGATCCTACAACAGTCCACTTATTAACTAAGTGCTTGACGAGAAAATCAACTAACCCTGTAATGGAAGATGGGCAGTGACAATATCTTTCAGGTTCAAATTTCAGTTTATTTCAAAGTGACTGTGACATGGATTGACTTGATCGCTAAGGTGGCAATTTACGCTTTTCAGGATCAAACCTCAAAGTTGTCACTTCAATTTTTTCCTGACCCGCTAATTTAAAGCCGGGTCGATCTTAATTGAAACCTTCTTTAATAATAACCCAAATGTTTTTCAGAATAATTTTTTAACCGAACATCGAAGTAATAATAATTTTCAGAGTTCAAGTCTTCCTAGAATTGGCGTCATGACCATATAAATATAGTCTCTTACCGCAGGTAGGAGCCCTGTGAAGCTCACTCCCTCCGATGACAGAGTCATATTGGCGCTGTTGAGTGGTCGGGTCATCAGTGACCCAGATAGAGGGCTACTGATGTTGACATACCGTAGAGCCCCAGCAAATGGAGAGCCCACAGGAGCATTGATTGCGCTACAAAGAATGGAAGGTTATCTTATGAATTTAAACAGTCGATAAGGACAAAAGAATGAAATTGAACGCGCCTAACGTGAAACTAATTTGTGTAAACGAGTTCTTGGCTTAAGCATTTTTCCAACAACTGAAAAAAAATTCGACTGATGGAAGGCAACAAATATTAATTGAAAAGAATGTAAGATCGTTTTTTATTGTTACAGCTTTCCTTGAATATCTATAGATGCAAAGAAGCTGACCTGTTAGGATCTTTACCACCAAATAACAGAGCCTGTCCATCAGCAAGATACACAGGTGTCTGTGTCATTATTGTCACGTGATCAACTGCTCCAATGTCAGACGGACCAACAAGTCTCACGGCCAGAGTGGTGTTCCTGAGACCACGCACCACGTGCACCTTGTACCAGCGGCCATCGCTGTAAGAGTTTCCATTAGTATGTACTGTGTACGTGTGGTTGTCTGTTTTAAAGAAAAACACCACTCTGCTGTCGTTCAAGTACACCCCGTATACATAATTCTGCAAAAATAACCAAACAAAAGGTCAGTAAAAGTAATTCACCGGCTTGAGTTGAAACACTGACACACAAACGAAAAAAAAACGAAAAAAACCGAAAAAAACAGTCATCTCACCTCCTTCTTTCCCCTCTCTCTCCCCCCCCCCCCCCTCTAAACAGAATCATGTGGATACCCGATTCTTAAGTAAAAACTGCAGCATGGTTTTTCGAATTTCTAACCTTCTAATTGGCTGAACGGAAAAGATTTCGAGGTGTATTGAAAAATTAAGCAGTTTTCATTTGCTAAATGCGCAACACTATTTGTTCACATGTTGCGATAACACTTGCCTCAAGCGAAAGTAAATTGTCCTCGGATCGTTGTCAAAGCAAATAAGAGCCAGTTGGTAAAGTTATTTTTCTGTGCGCGTTTTTTATCAAAACAATAATTAACAACTATTCACCAAAGTGGAGGTGGTTAGTGGTGGATATCCACCGCTAACCACCGACACTGAGGTGAATAGTTGTTTCAGTATATACTAAAACAGTGAGATAATATACACCACCGTCGTTCTTGTCACGGATGCAAACCGGGACGCCATTTTTTCCCGAGTTGCTCGGAGGTAAATAGCAAAGGATATTCGGAGTTTGACTAGCCAATCAGAGCGCGCCTTCAACGCTATCCACTGTTTTAGTATATACTAATTCTATTTATTGCTTGCCAAATACGAGATTATT